AACAATAATTTTCCTCCACAAACTTAACATATAAAAATATAATGTACATGTGATTATGCAGGTTCTAAAATAATCCATGCTTCTCAGTACTCCATGTCAGGTTTGTGGATAAATTGATAACATTCTGTAATAATTATGTAAACATAATAGTTAGTTACAAGTTCAAAGATCAGTTTTAATCAACCCGTGAAAACAGACACTATGAATATCCACACAGCATTTTAAACATTTTTATAAACTACATATATAGCATTCATGACTTTGTTAGTTACAGGGCCCCTAATATCAGACAAGTTACAAACCAAATGTAAAAAAATAACCAGTATTATAATTAACCCTACTAATCACAGATCTAAGGTTTCCTATGTATTTTACAAAGAAAATACAATTGTTCAATATGATGTAACGTGTAGACCCAACCAATAATGCAGGGTATAAAAACAAGTCTGTTATTTGAGCATTAACTCACCTTAAAGCAGTAAGTGTGATAACCTTTATCACATCCATCACAAAGAAGTAGCTTTTCTTCATTAGATCCACTGTGACAAAACTGGCAGCTCTAAAGAGAAATGATAAGATAGCAAACTAATAGTAACCACAGTTAACCATTATTTAGGTACACCATCACAATCAATCCATTTATTCCAGTTTAAAATTTAAAGTTAAATATGACAAAATCACATTTAAAATAAGTGATGTCTTTATAAGACAATACACAAGTATTTACAGTGATCTGAGGAAAACTTCACTATAGAAACCTAAATGTTGTCTCATTTTCTTTCAGGAGGCAGTTGTAGTCCATTAAAGTTCTCAAACTTACTAACTAGTTATTATTAGAACTGGTTACAACAAGATGATTTGATATTTTCTACAATTACTGAGAAGGTTTTCATAGTTTTGTACAGTTTGACTTACAGCTCTGGTGATAGACTTGTCCCATGCTATGCATGCCTCCAACATATTTAGGCACATTGCCAATTGATCTGCTGAACGACATTTCTTGACTGCAGCCCGCCAGCGAAGCAACCCTCTTGATGGCTCTTCGTCCTCAGATTCCATCATAAGATGGGCTTGATTGGCACTAGTGGTGTGGGGTGAGGACAGGGTCATCTGTGTGCTGCTGAGGTAAGGATAAATCTAACGTTAAGCCACTCCCAGTTCTTCACAAAAGGCACTAGTTAGGGCTAGTGTACTATATTCTCTCATATCAGTGATATACCAATAAACAAAGAGGAAGGTTACTGAACATTAGGATACTGTCTAGTCACATGTACTTTCACCATTATTTAATATCTCTGGTCTTCTATGAATAACACTTTCCTAGCATACCTTGTATGAACAAGTTACTCATATCTGCAAACATAGAAATGAATATTAACGTTTTAAAACACTATCATAGTTCTGTATTAAGAAAAGATGCAAAAATATAATTGAATTGAATTGAAAACCCAAAATTAAAAAGGACAGTGTAATACTCTATAACAATCTAAAACAAATATAGATTTTGGAAATATACAAAAACATCTGATTCATGTTTTGTCAGTCAAAGAAAAAATCTGGAGTGCAATAGAAAACCACTTATAATTTAACTAATATTGTTTCTTAATAAACAAAACCACTCATAATTTAACTAATATTGTTTCTTAATAAACAAAACCACTTATAATTTAACTAATATTGTTTCTTAATAAACAAAACCACTTATAATTTAACTACTATTGTTTCTTAATAAACAAAACCATTTATAATTTAACTACTATTCTTTCTTAATAAACAAAACCACTTATAATTTAACTAATATTGTTTCTTAATAAACAAAACCATTTATAATTTAACTACTATTCTATCTTAATAAACAAAACCACTCATAATTTAACTAGTATTCTTTCTCAGTAAACAAAACCACTTATAATTTAGCTAATATTGTTTCTTAATAAACAAAACCACTTATAATTTAGCTAATATTGTTTCTTAATAAACAAAACCACTTATAATTTAACTACTATCCTATAATAACCCAGATGTAAGAAGCCTAATTCTTAACATAAGAATCTTTTTTTTTTTACTGGGCCATTTATAGTTTTAATATACTGTAGACTTTTTTGATATGTTGATTGAATATGAAACTCAGAAAGCAACAAAAGTTAAGTACAGAGATGTTAAGTACAGACATTTACACTTAACACCACTGACACACAAACGTTGGGCCTTTTTTATGGCAAGTACTTGATGTAGAGCAGTTAAAGTTTGAGAGATCACCATTAAGTCTTAAATAATATGTTTCTCAGATTTGTAACATAGACTGTTTTCAACTTACTTAATACCTAGAGGTGACATTATATATCGTCTTTCAATGGCACTTTCAAGTTGCAGGAGTCGGTCCTTAGCAACCTCTATTAGGTTAACACTTTTGTCATTTGGCTCAATGGCTGCTTCAGCAGTGTCTCTTAGACACAGTTCACTCCATTCTTCCTCATCATCATTTTCACTCATAACTTTTCTTGTGGTAGCGACATTATTACTAGCTTCTTTGGTCTGTTCTTCTACTGATGTATTATTCTGTACAGCACTTGTAATTTCAATTCTTTCTACTTGGGTATTCTCATCAAGCCCCACAGAAAAGCACTTTGTTTGTTTGATATCCGAGACAGAGTTATCTTGATTTTTAAACTTGATAGTAGGAACCGTAGAGAGCTTTGGAGGAACCTTCCATCCCTGTTGAACACATGGACATAATAAACATATTACATAGTATTTAAAATTACCAAATCCACATACTGACTGTATCAAGCTACATGTTGGTGTTGTACCAATGATTAATATATATATAAGTCTTAACTGATTTATTTTAAAGTTCATATAAGATAATGTTTTAAGCAGCACTTTTGTTTTTAGATGTTCAGTAGCAGAATGTTTGAAGTTACATGATTTTTGAATCTGTGTGTTTCCACAAAAATTGTCGTAACTTATTAAGTAGTTAACTTTATAAAACAAATCATCTTGACATCCTTGCTACAATTATCTTACTTACTGGTCATTTGGTAATGTCCAGTTATCAATGTTGGATTCTATTCTCATTACTATTACTGGGTTATGAAATTTCCCAAACACATACTTACACTATAACCAATCAAACTACTAAAACAACGGGTCGTGTACTACCTTAAAATATGTAACAGCATGTGATGGAATATCATTCCATTAAGATCAATGAAACTTCTGTTGTTTAAATAAGTTTAAAACCACGTTGGAATGTGAAGATGGTGAATTTTCATTACTGTCAATATAATGTTTATATAATGGTTAAGATTACTGTCAGTATACTGTTTACATAATGGTTAAGATTACTGTCAGTATACTGTTTACATAATGGTTAAGCTTACTGTCAGTATACTGTTTATATAATGGTTAAGATTACTGTCAGTATACTGTTTATATAATGTTTAAGATTACTGTCAATATAATGTTTATATAATGGTTAAGATTACTGTCAGTATACTGTTTATATAATGGTTAAGATTACTGTCAATATAATGTTTATATGATGGTTAAGATGACTGTCAATATAATGTTTATATAATGGTTAAGATTACTGTCAGTATAATGTTTATATTATGGTTAAGATTACTGTCAGTATACTGTTTATATAATATTTAAGATTACTGTCAATATAATGGTTAAGATTACTGTCAGTATACTGTTTATATAATGTTTAAGATTACTGTCAATATAATGGTTAAGATTACTGTCAGTATACTGTTTATGTAATGACACCCACTTGAATGACAGTGGTGAAAACTTTCAGTTCCACACTAGGTATAAAGAACGTGATGGTCCTAAAACTTTTACATCAAATGTAACCTGTATTCATGAGTTACTAATAGATTAACTTGCACATTTGATAGTGAAATTATTTTACAACTTTATTAGTTTCCTTGATAACTCCCCCCCCCTCTAAAACTTGATTATATATATATATATTCCAGCTCTAAGACCACAGACTTTGATTACAACAATTAATTTACAAAAGGTATAAAATTACAAAAACTCATGATTCATGAAGCAATAACCTACTGTCTTTGATAGCAGAATGAAAATTTAGAATTTGAATTTGTAGTTTTTTAAACTTCCACAACCGAAATGGATAAATTATATATAGGATTAAAATATTGTTTTTTCCCCTCTTTAGTGAGTGATAGATACAGACATTAGACATGTACATGACTATTAATCCAAAGTATAATGCCTATTGATAACACACAAAAAAAGTGTTTCTAAATGTTGTAATATACGAAAGCAAGAAGGGAAAACACTCATTTTTCAGCATCCTTGGTTATTTCATTATTTAAATGTTAGTTTTGTTTTTATATAAACATCTCACCTGCACTTGCATGCTACCTCCTGCCACTTTTTCTTCCAAGATTTCTACCTGTTTTAAAATCGACAGATCTACTTGCAATGCAATCTTTGGTGACCACTGGTCCTCCTGGTCACTATCTGGAGCACCTCCTGGTTTTGAAGAGATTACTCTGTCTAGGTCTGTAATTTCTAAATCTGTAGCTAAATACAAAAGGTGTTAACAATTAGCATACAACTAAAATAAACCTAACAGCTGCTACTACTACTTAACATATAACTAAGATAAACCTAACAGCTGCTAATACTACTTAACATGCAACTAAGATAAACCTAACAGCTGCTAATACTACTTAACATACAACTAAGATAAAATTAACAGCTGCTAATACTACTTAACATGCAACTAAGATAAACCTAACAGCTGCTGATACTACTTAACATACAACTAAGATAAACCTAACAGCTGTTACTACTAATTAGCATACAACTAAGATAAACCTAACAGCTGCTACTACTACTTAACATATAACTAAGATAAACCTAACAGCTGCTAATACTACTTAACATACAACTAAGATAAACCTAACAGCTGCTACTACTACTTAACATACAACTAAGATAAACCTAACAGCTGCTACTACTACTTAACATACA